ACCTGACCACTTAGATTTGAGCTTCCCAGGGAAAAGTTTTAACTTGGAATTGAACAGTAATACTTGTTGGCCAGGTTGGAAGTTCCTGTTCAGAATCTTCTCGTCATGGTATATCTTGGCTTTGTGCTTGTAAGACTTAGAGGACTCATAAGCTTTCAATCTCCTTTCTTCCCATTCATGCAATTGAAGCTTTCTTTTCTCCCCTGCTGCCTTCAAATCATAATTTAAGGCCTTCAAAGCCCAAAATGCTTTATGTTCCAATCCCACTGGCAGATGACAAGCTTTACCAATGACCTTTTCCAATTCTTCGTTAGAGATAGGCAAAGCCTTCTCTAGTGGCGATGAGCTCTTGAAATCATTTTGAGTTTCCAAGTACGCATCATCTAATACATCAATTCTAAAGCAATCTTTGTGACCTTTTGGAAACTTCGTTGTTTCAAATACATTGAAACTCACTTCCTCATCTTGGACCCTCACCTTCAGCTTTCCTTCATCCATGTCAATGATAACTCGAGCTGTCTTCATAAAGGGTCTGCCTAGAATCAATGGAACCTCCACATCTTCTTCCATGTCCATCACTACAAAATCAATTGGAAACATGAACTTAACAACCTTCACGATCATATCTTCTACTATACCATATGGAAGCTTGATGGATCTATCTGCCAATTGCAAGGTCATTCTTGTAGGTCTCACTTCCACTTCTCCTATCTTCTTCAACATGGATAATTGCATTAAATTGATACTGGCTCAAAGATCTAATAGTGCCTTACCTACTGAAAGATTTCCAATAGACACGGGGAGAGTAAAACTACCCGGATCTCTGGATTTTTGAGGCAAAGATTTTTGTATGATGGCACTACACCCAGCCTCAAGCTCCACAGTTTCTTCTTCAAGTATTCTTCTCTTCTTAGTCAAGAGATCCTTCATGAACCGAGCATAAGTAGGCATTTGTTCCATGGCTTCAGTGAAGGAAATATTTATCTGGAGCTTCTTGATGATGTCCAGAAACCTTGCAAATTGTCTTTCCTTCTCTTTCTTAGATGGGGCATGAGGGTAAGGTAAGTCTTTAATAGGAACAGTGGAAATGACTTCCTTGCCCTTCTTTTTATTTTTCTCCTTCTTTACTCCATTCTTCTCTTTTATTTTCTCACTATCTACACCCTCATTTTTATTGCTTCCTTCCTCATTCTTCTCAATCTCTTCCTCAACCCCCCTCAATTCAACATTTTCTTTCTTTTCATTTTTCTCACTTACCCCAACATCACTACCTACCACCTTTCCACTTCTTGTTGTTATGGCTTGGCAATACTCCTTGGGGTTGGTCTTGGTGTTGGCTGAAAATGGGCCTTTAGACATGTCAGCTAATTGTTTAGCTAGCTGACCCACCTGCACCTCCAAGTAGATGCCTATGTGTTCTTCTGATTGTTCATAGACACCTGCATGAACTGGTTCAAAGTATCCTCCAACTTGCTGGTTCTTTCATGCACAAAAGGATAAACAGGCTGGTGTTGCTGTTGTTGTTGTGGTGGTGGCCTATTGGATGGTCCAGCTTCATTCCTTCATCTATATCCTTGGTTGTTGTTGTTGTTTCTCCAACCTTGATT